ACTGAAAGGATATGCAAACAGTCCTTGTATTTAGTTCTCAATTACATTATAAACTTTTCATAACTTTTTGTATGAATACACAATCATTTGTTTTAATATTTAAACTTATAAACATTACGTAATAAATGAGATACTGCAATATCATGTATTTTTATATAAAATAAATCGGGATGTGTTATATCAATTTGACGGGTTAATTAGCAAAGAATATTATAATATAAAGAATATTTTAAATAAATCAAGATTTAACCAAAATATTGTGATTTTTCATATTTTTATAAACTAAATCCACAATATAAGGACTATAACTTATGCGTACACGAATTGTACATATACTATCGTATTCCTCGTAAAATTCTCTACAAAATCGATATATCACATGTGCATATTTATAGTATTGAAAGTGCTCTTTTAGGTTAGGTTAGGCATGGTTAGGTTTTTTTCTAAATGGGTTTTTAAAAACTTTAAAATTCGATAATAAAAAAAGCGGTGGTGAGGGAGGTGTCTAGGTGGTCAAATTTGACTCGGGGGTGAGTGGGCGTCTGCCACATGAAGGATTTCCATTGGCCGAAAACGTTAGTACAACCAAAATATTGTACCGTTATTAACATTTTCTATAAGATATAACATAACGTAAGTTACATTTTATTCACAACTTTTATATGAAAACTACTTGTACTGAACAATTTGCTATATATTTGCCCACATTTAGCTAATTGTAAAACAAATTTAAATATTCTTGGTAATAACTCATACTTATCTCTTAGACTAACAAAACTCATAAAATATAATTCAATTCATAATAAATTCATTTGAAAGTCACCAAAAAGTCTTGAAAAATGCAATTGAACTGCAAGTCTATGGCATACCAAACACTACAACAGATGGCATGCATTGTGTGCTCGCATTGAGGGCACAAACGCCACAACAAACACACCATTCATTCACCACTGCATCGACTCATCGCACGTGTGACTGACCACTGATCACCACCACTACCACTACCACCACTACCACCACTACCACCGATGGCTAAGCATCACCCGGACCTGATCTTCTGCCGGAAGCAGTCGGGAGTGGCGATCGGCCGCCTCTGCGAGAAGTGCGACGGGAAGTGCGTTATCTGCGACTCCTATGTCCGGCCCTCGACTTTGGTCCGCATCTGCGATGAGTGCAACTATGGCTCATATCAGGGCCGGTGTGTCATCTGCGGTGGTCCCG